GTGGAATATTAAGAGATACTTTTAAAATTGTGTATCAACAAGTTGGCCTGTAATCTGTGAGCTGGTAATCATTTCCAATGCAGCGTGAAAGTAGTAAATAAAATAAAAAACAATTGCGTACCTTTTAACCAGTGTGAATCCAGTAGATTTCACTGCTATCCCAATCAACTCGTCGGCTGTACTGATATCGGAATTGGCAACATACAGCAATACATGTCCTGAGCTGATAGTAAAGTTATTTATGTCAGACAGTATTTCAAGGTTTTTTTTTGTTGTTTGTTTGTTTGTAAATATACAAAGAAAAACAAAACGCATATTTGATCGACACGTCAAGAAAAAGCCCCCATGGGTTCTTTCTCCTGCAGTTTATTTGGGTATTTGCAGCTGACTCATGTGGTTAACCAACCAACCACTGGAACAAACAGCACGCGAATATTTTCGTTTTGAGACCATTCAACCAGCAGTTGAATTAAGGCATGGTTACATATTTTACCTTAGAAAATAAAAGTAATCTTATTTTGTAACTATGCTCATTTTGCCAGCTTTGTGATTTAATGGGTAGTTTGATGACATTTATATATATGCTTATACTTAATAAACAAATCTATTTAGTTAATCTTTAATTAATCTTGAAAATCTTCCATGCTGTGCATGTCGATCTAAAAAGGGCCATGTAGACCGTATCCGGCCATACACTGATAAATAACTTTAGTTGATATCAGAGTATAATCACATCGCATGTGCATTGAGTCAAAGAAACCCCATTAAGATCATCTGTTCGGTAGACTCTGTTTGCTCCGGGACACACCTGTTTACTTTCCCCAGCAGTTTATTCATTCACAGTCGCGCATAACCAAGCACCCCCTGTTGTTTAAGGACCAAACACCCCCAACTGCTATCACCCCCCTATAGTTTAAACCATTAACCAATCGCAGGACCCGGGGGGCGTAGGCCAACGGCAGTCCCTGTGGACTGAGAATTACTTCATTCTCAAACTCGATGTTCCCCAGTGGAAAAAAGCGCCTGTTTAATTCATCGAGCCAACATCCAGTCAGTAGTACGACAGTCAGCCTTGCCGCTGCATTACAGCAGAGCGAGGAGCGAACAGAGCAGTACGGAGGTAACTGTGCGCAAGAGGAGGCGTTTATGTGCGCTATAG